GTTATAACATGGATATTTGTGGAATAATTGTAGTGATTCTCAAATAGCCTTACCCTATGAATAACAGTGCTCATACGGATGTGCACACAGGAAGGGTTGAAACATTATTTTCATGTAGTTTTCCAGGAATCATGGTCTCTGTACTGGTGAATTGGGACCAGGAGTAGTTTGTTTTTCTTCTTGCTGTCTTGCTTGTATAAGTCCTGTAGATGGAGGCCACAAGGGAGGAGGAGATAAGACAAAAGGAAGTGATTAGGGGTGCATCTGCCCAGACATAGTCCTAGTGTAGACATGAGAGCAAAGGGAGTACTTGAGTTTGGCTCTAGTATACAATAATTAGTATTTCCCAAATGAAATAATGTAAACAATCACAGAATCTGAGACCTGGAAGAAACTGTAGAAGTCATCTGCTTCATATCCTGGGCATCCCTGGGAGATGGTCCTCCAGGCCCAGCTTCTAGTGAAGATTTCAACATCTTCCATTGTTGAGGTGCATTAACTGTTGAAGAGATCTTACATTTAGTGAGTTGATCTTCTCTTCCTGTGATTTGTGGCCTTTATACCTGCTCATACAAGTTGAGCATCCCAAATCCAAACAATCTGAAATCCCAAATGCTCCAAAATCCAAAAGGTTTTGAGCATCAGTGTGACACTCAAAGGAAATGCACATTGAAGCATTTTGGATTTTGGATTTTTGGGATGCTCAACTGGTAAGTACTTGCAAATATTTCCAAATCTGAAAAAATCCAAAATCGAAACTCTTCTGGTTCCAAGCCTTTTGGAAAAGGAACACTTAACCTGTACCTTCATCATGGAACAAGCTTCATCTTGCTCACTGTAGCTGAACACTGTCATCATGTCTATACATAGTCTTATTATCTGTACTTCTTCAATTGATCCTCACAGAGTCTGTGAGAACCTTCGTTGTTCTGTGTGCACTGCCTGAGCTGGGTCACGCATTTGCTGAATCCTAGCATGGTTTTGTGGGGCTATAGTGCCCTTTAATCTGCAGCCCAAGGTTGTGTGAGCTTTTTGAGGAGCTATAGCACGTTACTTGTTTGACAGGATAGATTTTTGTTTTGGACTTGACAGTTAAATACTCGGTTTTAAATTGAGCACATTTGTCCTGGATTGCTTATGCATAAGTCACATCCTAAAATGAGAGATAGTCTGTCTATGAAAATGTGGGGAATAATTCTTGTAGGAGAAATTCCATTTGTGTTTTAAACTGGTAAAAAAAAATCATCTCAATCTATGCATAAAAAATGTATTAAATAATTAGAAGAGTGAATCTGTATCTACATGATTACAGCTCACCAAGACACAGAATCTCCCAGTCTTAGAGAAGGACATTCTGAAGGTTAACCTCACTGTATTCCATGTGATTTTCTCCAATGTGGCCTTTTGGTGTTAGAGACAGAAGGTTCTTCCTCCACTTTCTTTTTTTCTAGGTACTTTCTACATCCAGGGGAGACCTTATGGTGCTCAATGGCCTCTTGGGTGAAAGTCCCAAGTATGGCCAGTCTCTCAGATGGAGTTTCTGGCTGCATGTTGAAGCCTCTTCGTAGCTAAAGAACCGAAAGGGCATATATAAAACTTTGAGCCTTGTTATAACCATGACTTCATCCCTCATAGCTTATTCTTATACTGTGCAGACCCAGTTTTGAGACGAACACACAGTGTCGTGGTACCACCTACACTGCCATTTATTTAATCGGTTTGGATGGCTTGTGCTGCTCTTGGCTGTGGACCCGCAAAAACAAAGCCATGGGATAAAGCGCCCTGAATCATGTAATGAAAACCTTGTACCTTTTTGGAGGCCCGGTTGAGAAAAATGATTTATTTTTGCCCTACCAAATAAAACATTCTAGGAATCCAAGGTGAAAATTGGATTTTAACTGCTACCAACATTTCGAGCATATAAAATCAGCAAGTGTTGAGTGTTTTGCTCGATTAAGAGAAGAACCTAAAGAGTCTGGGACAAGAATGATCTGTGTAGGATGTGAACTGGTGTCTTAATGTAAATCAAACTGATTTATAAAACTGGAAATAAACATGAAACACACTTTGGCAGCCAGATTGTAACAGTACAGACCTCTGTGTTTTTAACATAATCATTTTGTTCCCAGTCGTATGCTCGGGTCATGGTTCCCCTTCCTCCTTCTGTGCTTGGTCTTTCGGGTTAAGCTTTCTGTGACGAGACTCCAAGAGTCTGGGAGCTACCTGACTCCAGCCCCAAACACGTGCCTTTCTTCTCTCAGCTTCCCGTCTGTCCTCATATTGATTCTCCCTCCTCCTCCTCTTCTTCCGACGTGTGTCACATGGGTTTCTCCTTCTATCTCTCTGACAACCGATCACCTCTTTATCACATTGTTTTGTCCAGTCTCTCCGCCATGTCTGAGGCTGTTCACCTGTGGCCCTGGTGCACTTCCAGCCTCAGGGGCTTTTTCTCACCGTGTGTAGTCGAACACCTCGCTGAGAGCTCTGTTTCCAGGCAGACTTCCTTGCGTCAGAGCAGTGGCATCTGGCACACTGCGGTCCCTCCGTCAATGTTTATCCAGTCGGTTGCTCTGCGAGAGAGCTTCCCTATCTCCCTCAAAGAAAGCATGCCACCCCTCTGCCGGAGTCACTGCCCATGTTTCATGATACCTCGAGATCCCTGGGCCTTACTGACTTACACTAGGGCTTTCAGCAGTGCCTTCCCCAGAATTAGGTGTCCATGTTGGTTCATCCAAAAGAGCGATTATTTTTGCATGCCTACTTTTACCAAACTCAGAAATGCCTTTAACAGCAGCTTTTATTTCAGAGAAATTCATCCTGTCCTGTAGAGTCATTTTTTTGTGGAGTCTGGTACTTTCTAGTGGGCAATTAGACTAACCTATTTGATTGACGGAGTACCTATAATCTACTCTGCTCACACGCCTTCTGCTCCCTGGGGAATCTGACAAACAGGAAGGATCTCAAATGGGACATCTGGCTTACGGAGCTTTTATCTATAATAATAATAATAATTAATGATAATGGTAATGATAGCTGAGCATTTATGTGTGTCGGGCATAATACTCAGCATTGTACGTGCATTTTCATTTCCTTTTACTTCTCATGACCCTATGAGAAAGATGCTATTATGTGCTCTGTGTTACGGATAAGAAAATTAGTCTAAGATAATGCACGTAGGAAGTCCTAGGGCCAGAATTCATTCCCAAGCCTCCCTAACTCTCGAATCACATTTTTCACCACTGTCACAGACTGCTTTTGGAGAGCACACAGCATCCTGTTGAAGTCATTAAAAATCATTAAGAACCTCAGGACATCAAAGCTATGATGTAACTAAAACGTCTTTAACTTTTGTGGGACTGCTGAGTGACTGGTTCCTGCTACTTGCTGCCCTTCTGAGGGTCACCACCGGCCCAGACTTTCTGTTACCACATTCTGCTCACCAGGCTGCGCGTGTACGCTAACTCCTGTTGGTTTTCCCATGGCCATTGCTTGCCTGGATGGGCCGCAACTAGTTTATTCTTTGGTTCCTTAGGTTGTTTATTCCTTCCTTCGTGCATTCATTCAGCACCTACTGAGCGTTGTACTGTGTATTGGGATACAAAGATAAATAAGATACTTATGCTTTTAACTAAAATGCATAGCAGAGGCAGCAGAGCTGTGTAGAAGGTGCTGTGGAGTAAAGAGGAGAGAAGAACTCACTGGAAGTGAAGAGACAGGGAGGCTTCACAGTGGTGGATCTTCAGAGCTGGTCTCATGGGGTGAATAAAGTCTGCCCAGCGGAAGATAAAGGCAGGAGCATTCCAGGGAAAGGAAACAGCTTTTGGAAGGACATGGTTTGTTCAGAAAATCAAGAGCCCTGTGGTGCGCCTGGAGGGTAGATGTAGAGAGGTGGGGGGGGACAGGAGATGGCCTCAGGTGCAGATAGGAAAGACCTTATAGCATGCTGGAGAATGTGTAGTTTTCAGAGAGTGGGAAGTCACCAAAGCTTTGTGCTCAGCAGAGTAATGTCATCAGAGTTGTCTTTGGAAAGATGCCTCTGGAAACTGCTTGGAGGATTTCGTAGAGGTTGAAGCAGAGGAAGGCAGAGTGACCCCTTGGATGCTCTGGGGACAAAGGTGTATGGGCTTACCCTGCACAGTGGTGACGGACAGTCAGGGTGCCCTCCCTGCCCAACTGGCTGCGGGAGGGGTACACAGAACAGCATCTGTTTTCCTAGGCCCTTCCCTGCCCCACTGAGTGGGTCTGACTTCAGGCCCCTGCCTCTCAGGCTCTTCTCACCTTCAGTGGTTGACCAGGAGTCCTCCCTGGGCTTAACATTTGACAGCTAGTGTTGCTCCAGTAGCTGCTCAGCCCTGCTCCCCTGCCTGCTCAGACTGGGCTTGCTGAGACCTGCCAGCACCTTCCTAGCTTGGCTGCCCTCCCTGGGGCAGAGGGCTTGGCTGCCTGGAGCCTTGTCTCTGCCAGAGCTGATCTGCTCAGCTGATAATCATTTCTTGTACTGTCTTGTCCCTGCTCAGGCCTTGGGGTTATAGGAAGACCAGAAGCCTCTTGTAGGTGGGACCTGTGCCACTTTCTCAAGTTGTACACATGCCATGCCCTGATAGTTTTGTTCCCCGATGACCCACAGGAGAGATTTAAAGTAATAGCTTCAACTAAAATTTTAAAAGTTTGTATTGAACTTATAAATTGTGAGGCTCTTATTAAAAAAAGCAACGGCATTGGAAACTTAAGTTTTATAAAGTGCCCTGAACAATGACAGATTTTCATAAGACTCGAAAAATGCCAAGGTGCTCTTACTTGGAAATGTGCTTATTCATTTTAGTATTGTATTGATTCTGCCCTGGTATTTTGTTTCAAAGTTTTATAGTTTTTTTTTGCCTCTGTAATTGTGTTGATAACAAGGGAACTGTTTTATAATGTGACTGTGAAGCACAGCAGTGCCCCAGGGCTGAGCATCCTGCACTCAATTAACCTTCATATTTCACACCTCATCATTGCAGTGTGGCAAAGCGCTCCCTGGCCTTTCAAAGCAAGAGGACTGCTGTGGAACCGTGGGTACCTCCTGGGGCTTTAATAAATGCCAGAAGTGCCCCAAGAAGCCATGTAAGTGATGTCTGTCTCACCATTCCTTTGCAGATTAATGTAGCATATCTGTTTTCTTAAGATTACTCTTTTAATGATGGAGCAACCATTAGACTTTCAAAGAACTCCATTAGTGAATTCTAGAAGATAGTGTTATATGTTTCCAGAAAGCTTGCAAGTCTGATAAAGTTTCCATCTAGATCTGTTTTTTTTTTTTTTTTTTCTTTTAATTATTTTTTTTATTTTGGTATATTATGGGGGTACAGATTTTAAGGTTTCAATAAATGCCCATTTGCCCCCCTCCCCCCAAAAGTCGGAGTCTCCATCATGACCATCCCCCAGTTGATGCACATCTCACTCATTATGTATGTATACACCCACCACCCCCTCCCACCGGCCTAATACCCTATTACTGTAGTACCTATGTGTCCACTTAGGTGCTACTCAGTTAATACCAGTTTGCTGGAGAATATATCTGGTGCTTGTTTTTCCATTCTTGGGATACTTCACTTAGTAGTATGGGTTCCAGCTCTAACCAGGAAAATATAAGATGTGCAATATCACCGTTGTTTCTTAGAGCTGAATAGTACTCCATGGTATACATATACCACATTTTGTTAATCCATTCTTGGATTGATGGGCACTTGGGCTGCTTCCACAGCCTTGCAATTATGAATTGTGCTGCTATAAACATTCGAGTGCAGGTGTCTTTTTTGTAGAGTGTCACTGGATCATTTGGGTAGATGCCCAGCAATGGGATTGCTGGATCAAATGGTAGATTCACTTGTATCGCTTTAAGGTATCTCCATATTGCTTTCCACAGAGGTTGAACTAGTTTGCAGTCCCACCAGCAGTGTAGGAGTGTTCCTTTCTCTCCGCAACCACGCCAGCATTTATTGTTTGGAGATTTTTTGATAAAGGCCATTCTCACTGGGGTTAAGTGATATCTCATTGTGGTTTTGATTTGCATTTCCCTGATGATTAGAGATGTTGAGCATTTCTTCATATGTTTGTTGGCCATTCTTCTGTCTTCTTTTGCATCCTATGCATCCGATAAGGGACTGATAACTAGAATATACTTAGAACTCACGAAAACTAGGAAGAAAAAATCAAATAACCCCATTAAAAAGTGGGCAAAGGACTTGAACAGAAATTTTTCTATAGATTCTGTTTTTTTAAATAAGCACAGTCATTCATTGCCTTCTACAGTTAGATTACTTATGAGGGAGAAAAGAAAAAAAACTCTCAAGAGGCAATGAGCTAAAATAGGCTCTTTTGTCCAAGGAAAGAGAAAATAAGATGTATTTTAAAATGGTAAATAAATGTTTTGAACCCTATAAAAAGATAGTGTAGTTGTTATTTCCTAGATTTAAATTGCTTAAGTGAAATTTTTATTAATATCCACATTTATGTTGAAGTTTTTGTTATACTATAGGTTTTCAAATTTTGAAAGTCAGGCTAAAATGGAGAAATGATTGGTTGTTATTTTGTAAAAGAAATTTATAATCACTAGGATGCAGTACCTTCCCCTTTTTTCTTAGCACTACTTTTATACTATCACAGTCCTCAGTGACATCAGTCTGTATTACTGCCCACTTTTTTATTTGTCTTTAAGGTGTTTTTTAGAACCTGTTGATTGGAATAAATCCAGGTGTACACCTTTCTATTACTTTCTTGCCAACAATAGTTTGTGTTATATTTTTAGTTTTCCAATGTAGCATTAATTCTGGATAACTGACTTCTAATACATACTTTTTAGAAAGACAGAGGTAACTTGTTTTAAGTTGATCTTTCTTACACTAACTTATCATCCTTTTGCCAAGACAGCAAGTGATATTTTTCTAAACATCTTTCATTGCCTTATATAACTAAAGATTTTTATAGTTCTTTTTTTATTCTTTATGCTGTAAAAAATTTCTCACTTGCTTCATTTGAACAATTTCTACTCTTAATTATATTGATTTGATTGATATTCTCAACAGTTATCTCTGCTCAATCTAAAATCTGCCATCTTGGAATTTCCACTCCATATCTCTTTCTTACATACTATTTGTCCTTCTACCAGCATAATAATTTGTTTTAAATAATTGCCTCTTATTTAGACACTTCCTTGTCCTTTGAACTTGCAGGTTCTCTGAATGCCTAAACCTAATTAAATTTATTTTGTTGATACTGCTCTTATCATCTGGAAGACTGGTTTGTGGAAAGCCCCACTAAAGTTTCTGATAATTAATGAATTCTTCTTTTAGAAAAATAATCCACATAAACGAGACATTCTGTGTTGGGAGAATATGTTAAATAGACTCAGTGTGCTGATTCGATGACTTGCATTGTGGATTTCCAGGAAGTAGGTTGAATGTGGGATCTATTTGCCTAAAATTACTTTGGCAACCTGACCAAAGGAGTATGTAGGATGTATTTGGTATGACTTAAAGAGCATGGTGTTGGGGGTTGGGTAGACCTGAGTCTGACTGCCCTGCTTTCATTTGCTATTGAATCTTGTGGATCACTAAATAGGAATCTATATCTAAAATGTTGAAAAAGCATTGCCGTCTTTTTGGGCTGAACTGCCTGTCTTTGGTTTACCATGTGTAGATGTCTGTAGGAACATTGGGAGGGTGATGTGTTTCTCTCCGTTAGGTCTAAGGACTGAGGGTGAAGAGAGGTTAGGTTCTTGCAACTTTGTTTTGGGGCCAAGTTTATATTCTCTAATACTTTCTCCATCTTCTCCCTTATTTTTCTTTTTCACTTACCTCCTTCTTTGTGCATCTTTGCTTAGCTGCTTTGTCTTTTCCAAATCCCAAAGTAGCAGAAAAATGGAAGACACTAGGGGTAAAGGGACATATACAGTCATTTTTTTTAAACCTAACTTCTCCTGACCTTTGGTCATTTTTATCTAGAATTGTATCATCTGGGAATGAATTTACTGCTTTCTATAGGTTTTTTTTAGCTCTATTATTTTAATCTTGAAAGGGATTTAAGTTGAATGTGAAAGTTCAAAGTTGCCTGTCACTTTTAACTAAATATTGATGAAAATAAATTTGTATGTTGGCTCACTTAATGTATAAAATTGAAGAGATTGATTTCACTTCAGGAAGGGCAATGTGGATTATGAATGAAGTAAACCGTTAACATCTTGACATTTATTCTGTTTGTGCTGTCTTAAGTGACTCACTCCCAAGAAACACACTCAGGGTCACATTCTTCCTGTGTCATTTAAAAAACTTTCCTTTCCTTGGTTGGTACTACTCTAAATCATATTCAGTTTGGAAGAGAGCAGACTTTCTTTGGCTTTATACACTATGGTTTTGTGTTCCATGCCTCTTTTTTTTTCCTTTTTCACTCAAAGTAGTTCAAACTTTAGTTTTCAAGTGGCTTTTATTTAATGTTTAAAGTTTTTGTTTAGCCACAAACAGAAAGACTTTTCATTGTTGATCATTTTTGCTGTGAAAACTTAATTTTGAATCTGCAAATGATTTCATTAAATGGTATGTCATCTACTAGAAATGTGCTTAGCACAGAGAACAAGTCACACGTCCTTTAAACATTTCTAGAAGAAAATTAACGTAGAATCCTAAGCTGAGGAAGACTTTGAGAGAGCGCCTGGTCTGGCTGTCTGCCTTGAAGTACAGGACTGTTGAAACTTCTAAAACAAGGCATTATCTCTTGCCTTTGAAGAAGTCACAGCCAGAGATCCCCACGATCTCCACAGGCAGCCTGTTCCCGAGCGTCTTTCTTACAGGGGACAAGACTGGACATGAGGCCCAGGAGCTGAATGGGGTGACTCCCACCTGCCAGTCTCTCCCCTCTTTTAACTCGGCATTCCCAGGCTCCTCACTTTTGATCTTCTTTTTTAGGTATTCAGAAGGATCTGAGTAGAGGGGAAATACAGCAAAGGAAGGAAGCAGAGTAGAGGGACTCACTAGTAAACATTCACCCTGTTCCAGTAGTGGTGACGGATAAAGAGCATGCCTGGAGGGCAAGATAATTTTATTTTTCAAAAGAAAATTTCCCTTTTGATTTCTGTTTTCCCCTTTTACTCCTCCTTCAGGTCTTTTTAGTGGTCTACCCATTCATCTTACTTTGATTACAGCCTGTTTTCTTTTGCACGTTGTCCTTTGACTAGAAGAACACCTCATTGCAGGAAATAACAATGGCGTTTGATAGTTCGTGAGTGTCTGTCATTGTCAGGCACTGCGGCATTTTTCATGAATTATCTCCAAACTCGACAACAACCCTGCCCTTCTCATTGGCTAGGAATACTCCCACTGTATGGAATTTAGATTTGAAGTCTGGGAGGCTTATTTGCCAAGAGCTATTGATGGGAAGAACCAAGATTTGAACCCATGTCTGCCAGGTCCTAAAACTTAGGCTGTATCCACTATGCCAGGTAGTCTCTCAGGTCTCACTTTAGAGTATCAAATCTCACTGAGTAGACTTATGTTGATAAGTTGGTGACTGCAGCCTTGGTATTGTTTGTATCTTCTGAGTGAAGAACCACACAGCTAATCACAGCAGCCCTTTTAATCCCTGGCTTCCCCTCAGCCCCTGACTATTCTCCTCAGTTCACGGTAATAAGAATCATCTTATAATTAGGATACTTGAGCCTATAATTAAGATGAGTGTATAATTTATTCTCTAAACTGGGAAACTTTTGAGAGTATAATGCTGTTAATTAACTTTGCCAGAATAGTAGACATAAGCCGGGAGCGTCCCAGGCAGACCGGGGCGTGTTGTCACCCTACCTAGAATGGATAAGAAAGGCCAAACCTCTGAAGCAGATCACTCAGGAGGAATAGATCCTTTGTGATAGAAATATTTAATCTCTAATTAGAAGAAAATATAAAACAATCTTACAATTCATTCAGTTAACATAGCAAAGATTTACCGGCAGCTTCTTGGGACTGTATCTATTGCAAAATATGAAGTATACTGAAAAACAAGCTTAATGTGAAAGCCATTGTGGAGATATATGAATACTTTGGTATAGGTATCTTATAAATGAATAACTAAGTCTGCTGATGCCTTTGGTTGTCACATATAGTAGTTTAGGATTGTAAGAATATAAACTAAGAATATAACAATAATTTCTTCCCTTACAGCCTATCATGGATATAACCAAATGATGGAATGCCTACAAGGTTATAAGCGGGTTAACAACACCTTTTGTCAAGGTAAGACTAACTGCATTCATTGGTGTAGACTCAAGAGTTGTTTTGGCTTTTTACAAACTTGAGTTGTTTTGCCATGAGTTGCTCATTTGTTCAGCATGTGAAGGTCACATGGTGAACCACCACCTCATGCTCACTCCATCCAGCTAAGGAAGTGTAGAATTTTAATGTATGATGTTACCTTCTGTTAATTTGTGATAAAATCCATAGGAGTTTGGACTGCATTACAAAGCACATTACAAAGGTCTCTATGCTGCTCACCTTCTATCCATGCATGGATACGTCTATTCACTGGCACCCACACGTGGGCACACACATGTACCTAGCAGTTGTACTTTGTAGCTGACATGTGGTTGGGCAACGGAGTTACCTTTTTTCCTGTCATGAGAATATTGCTAGCCACTTACTAAATGTCAGAGTGAACACACTTTGCCTAGGCAATAAGAAAAGCTATGGGGGCTGGGCATGGTGGCTCATGCCTGTAATCCTAGCACTCTGAGAGGCCAAGGTGGGAGGATCACTTGAGGTCAGGAGTTCGAGACCAGCCTGAGCAAGAGCGAGACCCTGTCTCTACTAAAAATAGAAAGAAATTAGCTGAACAATTAAAAATATATATACAGAAAAAATTAGCTAGGCATGGTGGCGCATGCCTGTAGTCCTAGCTACTCGGGAGGCTGAGGCAGAAGGATCGCTTGAGCCCAGGAGTTAGAGGTTGCCATAGAATAAAGGTGCTACATATCCTGGGCCTCTGGACAAAAAAAAAAAAAAAAAAAAAAAAAAAAAAAAAAAAAAGCAAAAGGAAAGAAAAGCAAAAAGAAAAACTATGGAGCTAAATGTGAAATGCCCTGAATACCTGAATATTTTTGCTCAGTTTAATTTGAACAGTGTAGCAGAATTATACAAGCAGAGGAACCCCAGGGGTCATCCAGTCTAGTGAATATAGATGAGGAGACTCCAGAGAGGTTAAGTGACTTCCTGTGGCTGCACAGAGCTGAGATTTGTAATTCAAGTTTACCAATGCCTAGTTTAGTACTTACATATGATACCACATTTTGTTTTACTTTATGAGTTGTTCAATTAATGCTTCTAGTTGCCCTTTACATGCCTAGGGCAAAGGAGTTATTATTAGTAACTTGGGAATATGTATACATAGAAATAAACAGAGAAACAAAGGGCCCCCCAGAGTCTAATAGAACCAAAAGCCATGTCAAGAACAGCACATTTCTTCTGACTTGTGGTCTGGGGCCCTGTATCCTTGACCGCCATATGTCTATAGGATAGAGTACATGTAGGTCATCTTATAGAGTGCAAGTTAAATTAACCCGTGTTAAAATGGTTCATATCAAAGGAATATCTTAATTACCTGAGGTTTTTCTCAAGTAAATCATCTATTCCATAGTGCCTCTGTAATTCTTATGATATGTAGGGTCTTTGTTGACTTAAAGAATTTTCTTTTGATACACACATAGGTATAGTGTCTTTAAAGGGCTTTGTCTTAAAACATTATATTATAAGCCCTCATGATATGTGACAGAGAGTTGGGAAAATTAGAATATACTGCTCAAGTTCTCCGTGCCACCTATGGCACCTTTTGCCATACATCTGCAAACCTTAGTAACATGGGAATAGTGGATTAATCTGTATTGTTTTAGAGTCAGTAGAATTTAAGATACCATTGAGTTAAATTAGATGGAGAGAACAAGAAATGAATAGGTTAAATAAATGAATGAATAGATGGTTGAATGTGTATTCTACAGTATAAACCAAGTTATTGTTTTATAGATTTGGATAAAAATCTGTAGCCTTAGCACATTGTAAGATGCATTAGTAGAAATAGAATGAGCAGGGCAGTGGCAGTAACAACCTTGTACACTGTGCCCATCAGACTGAATTTGGGATTCGGATGCTTGGTGTTTGTTGTCTTTTGGTTAATAAGGTCAAACAAGCTTGCAAAGGGCCTAGAAACATTAGTATGTTTAGCCAAGAGAAGTACAGACTGAAGAGAAATGTAATAGCTGCCTTGTGAACATGCCTTTAAACGTTTGTAAACATGCCTTTAAGTGTATTAACTGTCCCACAAAACAAGACATACCTAGCTACTGGGGACATTTTGGGAAACTAGGTGTCAGGGGCTAATGTGACAGGCCAAGATGTCATTTCTTTCTTCTTAGAGATAGCCTCTGTGCCAGGGACAGAGTGTAATGATAGCATCATAGAACTGGAATGTACCTGTGGAGTCACCTAACCTTATATGCTGCACAGGTTAGAAATACCCGAACGCATCCCTGGCCAATAGTTATTAAGTATGTGTTGAATCACTCTATGGGCAGGAAGCTGACTGCTTCTGAAGACATGTCGTTACAGGTTTGGGGTCTTACTTTTTTTCTACATTCTGATTTTCTGCTTTTTAATTGGGGTGTTTAGTGCATTAATATTTAAGGTAATTATTGATATGGTTAGATTTAAGTCTACCTAAAATCTTTGTCTCATCAGGAATTTTTGTTCTTTTCTTTCTCTATCCTTAGAATTCCGTTTTAATTTATCTGTTGGCTTTTGACCAATACTTTTTGCACTGTTTTTAAGTGATTGCTCTAGAAATTATAATATACATCTTTATCTTGCACAGCCTACTTAGAGTTAACATAGTACCACTATACAGAAATATGGAAACCTTGCCACCAAATGGGTCCTCTTCTTGGCCTGCAGAGCAATCTACTGATGCTCTGTGCCGTACTCTTAGTGGTAACTGTCGTGAGAATCCCCAGGCAGGATCTCCTCCTACTTTGTTTTGGAATTATTTATTTATATTATATGTTAAGTATTTGCTTAAATCTGTTTTTTCTTGATAGGCTATGATCTCTCAAAGATCAAGGACCCATTCTTACTTTTGTGAACCTAGAGCCCTGAGCTCATAATGGATTTAAAAAAAAATTTTTGATGTGAATGAAAAGAGAGTTCATTTGTTATTGAGAAGAGCCTTATTATTTATAGCTTCATTTTAATTGATCATGTATCAATGACTTACAACTAAAACCAAGATGTTTGTAGTGATTCATGATAAACTGTGTATCTAAGCACAGTAGCCATAAACTTACAAAGTGGGAAATAAAGAACTAAATAATAATTTAATACATTAATTTGATTTTAATAATTAAATTTACTGTGTGCCAGACACTTTGTTTAATAAACACTTTATATCAGTTAACTCCTTTAGTCCTTAAAATATCTTTTCGAAGTAGGTGCTATGATACCCATTTTACAGATGGAGAAATTGAGACCTAGAGAGGTTAAGTAACTTGTACAGTATATAGCTAATAAGTGCTGCCCAGGTAGGATGTGGCCAGAATTTAAGCGGACAACTGTCTTTCTATTAAAAGAAAACTAACATTTATTGATCACTTATTATGTGTTAGTCCATATGTACTTCATTTAATTTTCAAAACAGTCCTATGAGATTTGGGCATTATTAACCCCAATTAGAAACTGAGACACAGAGTAAATAACTTTCCCAAGGTCACACAGATAATTAATAAGAAGTCCAACCAGAATTGTAGTCCCAAGCTACCTAATTTTGTATGTAAAAATTAGTAAAGTTTTTTATACATAAAATTGGTAATTTTATATGAAATATATATGAAAATTTATAAAGTATTAACTGATTTAGATACTAGTTAATTAAAAGAGAAGATATGACATCTGTAGTGAGAGCTAATAAAAACCCAAGCAATTAATACTAATTTGGTATTGTTTAATAAAAATTGATGATAATCCAATATATTCCATCTACTGGCTGATTCAAGGTTCTGAACAGTTTATATTCATAAAAATACCACTCTGGAGGTATCAAGAGAGGGTGTTAAAACCTAGGTAGATACCTAGTAGTGGGCTTGCTGGATCTAATGGTAGGTCTATTTCTTTAGTCCTTTGAGAAGTCTCCATACTGTTTTCCACAAAGCTTGTATCAATTGGGAGCTAACTGATGGCTGTGCATGGTCATACAGAGTGGTATAATGGACATTGGAGAGTCAGAAGCAAGGGGGAGAGGCGGGGGTGCGGGATGAAAAATCACCTATCAGATACAGTGTACACTATTCGGGTGATGGGTACACTGAAAGACCCGACGTCACCACTATACAATTCATCCATGTTACCAAAAAAAAAAAACAAAAAACATTTGTATGCCCTAAATCTGTTGAAGTAAGTAATAAAAAATGCCGCTTTCGGGGTGGAAGTGCCAATCTGCAAGTAATCACTTCCTATCTATTTAGCAAAATAGCGTGGAGAATTCTTCAATAATTGCTTGTAATTTCCTCTCTTGGCGTGGCTGAGTGACCTTTAGCAAGTTTTGTTCGTACTGAGCATATCAAATGGTTCTGCCTCGGTCAATTCCACTGATGGTCTATCAGTAACACCACATCCTGGCTGAGGTCTCAGGAGGATATTTGCAAAGCAGCGCTAACTTTTTGGCAAGGATTCTGCAGTGAAGTATCACAGAAAATTCTATTTCATGGTGCCTCAAGGAGGCACCGCTAAATTACACTACAAAGAAGTTTGACTCATAAAATAACATGATTTCATTCAGCGTAATCTATTAAAATTGCTATTGAGAGAAGGGCTTAATTTCACTCCCTTTGTTATATTGTTGGTCAGTAGAATGGAATAGAACTTTCTCACATTACGTATGTACACTCAGTTTTCCTAGAGCGTTGAAGCTTTTTGATTTTGTTTTCCTAAAGTTTTTCAAAAGGAGCCCATTAAGCATCTAATTACTTGTGTGTTCCACATTGTTCTTGCAGTCTAATGTCTTCTCAGTTTACAAAGTGCTTTTAAAATTAAAGTGATTAATAACTAGAATTACATTATTTCCTCCAACTAAGTGGACTAATGTCTCGGACAACTTTTTTTTAATGTGCACTCACTAACAAAGAACCAACTGTGCACAAGTTAATTTGAGGAGCTTTCAAATAATTGCCCTCAAAGTTGAGTTTCTCTCCTTTCTAGTG